CAACATCATCATCACATTGACTATCATCATCACATTCATCATCATCATCATCATCACATTGACTATCATCATCACATTCATCATCATCATCAACATCATCATCACAATGACTATCGTCATCACATTCATCATCATCATCAACATCATCATCACTATGACTATCATCATCACATTCATCATCATCATGACTATCATCATCACATTCATCATCATCATCATCATCATCACATTCATCATCATCATCATCACATTGACTATCATCATCAACATCATCACCACGATCATCATCATCATCATCACCATCACCATCATCATTATCTTCTTCTTCATCATCATCATCACTATCATGATAATTACCACGATCATCACCACTATCATCATCACAATCATCATCATCACCACTATCATCATCATCACCACCATCAACATAATTATCATCATCATCATCATCATCACTTTCATCATCAACATCACCATCATCATCATCATCATCATCAGGAAGTAGAGCGAGGAAGAGGAGAAAACTGATCCAGGGTTGGTGCTGTGCAGACCTCAGTGTCTGAGTTTAATCAAACTTGACCTTTGAGCTCAGAAACATTTGAATTTTTATTTTTTTCTGATTATTCACAAACTAAAGCTCGAGCTGATTCTTCCTGCAGGAAGTTATTAAAAGCTGCTTTTAATTTGTAGGAATTTGTCAGAATTACAATAACAGTGAACAAAGCTGAAGATCAGCAGAGGTTATTTATCTTTGAACCTTGACCTTGAAATTTGTCTTTGACCTGACTCAACTGATTGAAGACAGACAGGTCGGTCTGGTTTCAACCTTTGCGTCGAGTCACTGATCAGACGTTCACTGAAGGAGGAAACACCAACTGATGTTTCTGCACAACACTGGCTCTGTAATACTGGCCCAACAGCACCGGAGGCAGACGCTGTGGAGGCTGGTTTAAATACTGACAGAAGGAATGTGTCGGGTTAGTGAGGAAACAAAAGATAAACACATGAAATGTTAGAGAGAGAGAAAGAGAGCACCAACATCCAGCTTCAATAAGACAAAAACCTGATTAGTTTTAAGGTTCAGAACATTTTGTCATTAAACGTCCAGCTATACTTCAGATCAAACACAAATCTTTAGATGTTTATTTGACCCAGAAAGATGATGTTATTCAGACTGAACTCAAACACTTGGAACCTTAAAACGCTTTAAAGCCAGATTTCAACACGATGGGAGGAAAACATCTGAACAGAGCAAATATGGGAGCTATCACATCGCATGGAGAAGAGTGACATCCAGAAAACTGGAGTGACATCCAGGAAGTGGAGTGACATCCAGAGAGCTGGACTGACATTCAGGGAGTGGAGTGATATTGAGGGAGTGGAGTGACATCCAGGGAGTGGAGTGATATCCACAGAGCTGGAGTGACATCCAGAGAACTGGAGTGACATCCAGAGAGCTGGAGTGACATCCAGGAAGTGGAGTGACATCCAGAGAGCTGGAGTGACATTCAGGGAGTGGAGTGACCGCCAGAGAGCTGGAGTGACATTCAGGGAGTGGATTGACATCCAGAGAGCTGGAGTGATATTCAGAGAGCTGGACTGACGTCCAGAGAACTGGAGTGACATCCAGAGAACTGGAGTGACATCCAGGGAGTGGAGTGACATCCAGGAAGTGGAGTGACATCCAAAGAGTTGGAGTGACATTGAGGGAATGGAGTGACATCGAGAGAGTGGAGTGACAGCCAGAGATCTGGAGTGACATTCAGGGAGTAGAGTGACATCCAGAGAGCTGGAGTGGCATCCAGGGAGCTGGAGTAACATCCAGGGAGCTGGAGTGACATCCAGAGAGCTGGAGTGACATTCAGGGAGTGGAGTGACATTCAGGGAGTGGAGTGACAGCCAGAGAGCTGGAGTGACATCCAGAGAGCTGGAGTGACATCCAGAGAGCTGGAGTGACATTCAGGGAGTGGAGTGACATCCAGAGAGCTGGAGTGATATCCAGAGAGCTGGAGTGACATCCAGGGAGCTGGTGTGACATTCAGAGAGCTGGAGTGACATCCAGGGAGTGGAGTGACAGCCAGAGAGCTGGAGTGACATCCAGAGAGCTGGAGTGACGTCCAGAGAGCAGGAGTGACATCCAGAGAGCTGGAGTGACATTCAGAGTGCTGGAGTGACATTCCGGGAGTGGAGTGACATCCAGGGAGTGGAGTGACAGTCAGAGAGCTGGAGTGACATCCAGAGAGCTGGAGTGACATCCAGGGAGCTGGAGTGACATCCAGAGAGCTGGAGTGACATCCGGGGAGTGGAGTGACATCCAGAGAGCTGGAGTGACATCCAGAGAGCTGGAGTGACATCCAGGGAGTGGAGTGACTTCCACAAAGCTGGAGTGACAGCCAGAGAGCTGGAGTGACATCCAGAGAGCTGGAGTGACAGCCAGAGAGCTGGAGTGACATCCAGGGAGTGGAGTGACTTCCACAAAGCTGGAGTGACATCCAGAGAGCTGGAGTGACATCCAGAGAGCTGGAGTGACATCCAAGCAGTTGAAGTGACATCCAGGCAGCTGGAGTGCATTGATAGTTGCAATAATTGGACTTTAAATATCTTATCTAGGGGCCCCTTGAATGAAATATGTGAAATATGATCCTAAATAATTTTTTGAATCATTTTTCTGAGCAGAACCAACAACTAACTGTGACTTTGAGCAGAAAAACACTAAATTTGAGCTCCTTTTCCTTTGAACAGAGCTACTTTCAATAACAGCTGAAAAATCTCTATGTACAAATCTGGTTTGATGTTTCCTGGTCTGATGGGAGGGGCCCCAAAAAAACACAACTTTATGCATTTTTACTGTGATTGTTGATCAATCAGAAAGTGATCAGCAGACGTTACGTGTTCTGTTTCCACACAGTGACACGAGAGTCCAACCATGACGAACATTTCTAAGAACTTGTTTAATGTCTGTTACAAAAAAAACTATTTTTAAACTATTGTGATTTTCATTTCATATGCCAAGAATCATAAAGTTCTTCTTTCATTTAAGTGTTGCATCCTCTTTTCTGACGAAGTTGAACTGTTGTGTAAAATGTAAATAAAAACTGCAAGCAATAAATTTTAAATCTCATAACCCCCCAGTTTATTACCAATAGAACCAAAAACAGATCAAATGTTTACACTAAGAAATAAAACTATTTTTATGAAAATCTGAGGGGGTTTGGATTCTGATGCAGCAACTAATCTGTAAAAAGTTGTTCAGGAGCAACACGAGTCTGAAGCAGTCAGAGGTCCGGATCAGAACCAGGAGGAACATTCAGTGACTGATGAGGTGAATTATCAGCAGGTCAGTCAGAGGACTGATCCAAATCTGAAGTTCTGCTTGGAAATCCCAAACGTCACGTCCTCCAGACTGAAGGACCGTCCAGCCTGGTCTCAGCATGCCTCTCTGATGGTATGGGGGTGCATTAGTGCCTCTGGTATGAGAAGCTGACACATCTGGAAAGACTCCATCAATGAAGAAAAAAACATCTGCAGGTTTTAGAACATCTGCTCCCATCCAGGAGAGAAGATCCAGGACTGAAGGGCAGCTAGAGTCCTCCATCAGACCAGAACATGACAACAAGTCCGCTAAACCCTCCAACACCTGGTCTCCTCAGGCCCTGGACGTGATGTTAGAAGAAGCGTGGTGTCGTCCCAGAGGACACGTGGAGCTGAACAACTTCAAACAGACGTTTTGTTGACGTCAGACTCAAAATGATCAGATTTTTACTAAAATTGTTTTAATGAACATCGGCTGACAGAAGCAGAAGATATAACACTAAGGTTTGTTCTGGTCTTCTTTTATAAATGTCATGTTTGTTTTAATTCTAAATATGTTTTAGTAAAGGTCTTTCATATTTAATAAAATATAATTTGACATATTACGTCTGAATAATTCAGGTTCAGACATTCAGGTCATTTATTTCAGCTTCGGTTGTTTTTTATCTGCAGCATCTCTGATTGACAGCCCAAAGCAGATTTTAAAGTTTCTCATGTTGGCACACTTTTACATAAAAACTTTAATTTATCTTTAAAATGTAAAATAATGAAAAGTGCTCCAGTAAAACATTTAACCTGTTGTTAGCTTCTTTGTTTGAGGGTAAAACGTGAGCGGAGTCAAAGCTCCTTCCTGTGAGATCTGAAGTGTATTTCTTGTTTTTGTGAGGATGTGGCGGTGCTCAGGTGTGTTTCCAGGTGTGTTTCCAGGTGTTAATACTGACTCTTACCCTCATGCCTTCAAATCTGGACAGGGCTCTGAGGGGCCGCAGGGCCCGCAGCGTCCGCAGGGATTTGATGGCTGCTAAGTCTGAGTAACCCAGAGTGTTGGCCACCAAACTGATCAATGAAACCTGGGAGAGAAACAGAGGGGGGAGGGGGGGAGAACGATGAAGATGGAGGAGGAAGAGAAAAAGAAGAGAGGAAGGACAGTTAACATCTATTCTAGAGGAGAGAAAAGGAGGGACGTTTGAGGAGGACCAGCAGCTGGAGGCGTCCAGCTGAGCAGGAACAGACGAGAGGTCCACCTGACTGTAAGTGAAGTTCTCAGGTTAGTGTCGGAGCTTCACCTGTGAAGTGAAAACACGTCTGAAGAAGAAGCTGCACGAGGAAGACAACCGTTTAAAGACAGCGGGTCCCGGGTCGGGTGAGCTCTGCTGGTTCTTACCCTGATACCAGCGAAGCGGGACGCGGCCCTGAGAGGACGGAGAGCCCGGAACGTCCTCAGCACCCGCATGGTGGCAACCTGGTTGACGGGGATGAACTGAGCCAGCAGACCCAGCACCGAGATCTACGGGTCACACAGGCAACACGGGCCGCTCGGTGAGGTGGACGACTGTCAGCCTGACACAACTCCAACCAAATCATGCAACAAAACATCAGCAAGGAGCAATGAAGGTCAAACACATGAGCATGTGGACAGTCCCACCTCTGACCGGGCTCTACAGTTCCTCTGTCAGAGCGATTCAACTGGAGGCCCGGGGGACAAATCAGGTCCACGAGTGACCTCAGTTCTGCCCATCAATTGGTCCAATTGAAATAAAACTACATTTTAAACCATGAAACAAACTTAATGACAATAACTGCTGGATGTCCGGACCCTGAGCTCTTGACTTTCAGAAGCTGTGACCTCTGAACCCTTTGAGACCTGACCTCCAGAAACGTAGTGACTCCTTGTTGGCCACAGAACGACTTGTAGGAAACCGTGCAGGAGTCGTTCTGTCACGAGCTCAGACGAGAGACAGTGGTTTGGACATGTCCAGAGGAGGGACAGTGGTTTGGACATGTCCAGAGGAGGGACAGTGGTTTGGACATGTCCAGAGGAGGGACAGTGGTTTGGACATGTCCAGAGGAGGGACAGTGGTTTGGACATGTCCAGAGGAGAGACAGTGGTTTGGACATGTCCAGAGGAGGGACAGTGGTTTGGACATGTCCAGAGGAGGGACAGTGGTTTGGACATGTCCAGAGGAGAGACAGTGGGTATATTGGTAGAAGGATGTTAGAAATGCAGCTGCAGGAAAAAGACAAAGAGGAGATACATGGATGCAGGTAGAGAGGACATGGAGGTAGTTGGAGTGAGGAAAGAGGACACAGAGGACAGAGTGAGGACAGAGATGGAGGAGGACTCACTGTGGAGACCCCTGAAGAGGGAACAGCTGAAAGAAGCAAAATAAGGAAGAAGAAATAAGAAGAGGAGGAGGAAAATGATGAGGAGGAGGAGGAAGAAGAAGAAATAATCAAGGTTCTGGGAGTCCTGGTCCTGAGGGATGCTCGAACGGAGACCCAGAACTCTGGTGGATTTTAGTAACACCTCTGGACTGAGGACATCTTGAGATCCACCAGGAGGTGCTGGAGAGAGGGAGGTCTGGGTTTCTGTAGTGGACAGAGGAGGAGGAAGGATGCATCAGAGGAGATCAGTGGATCATCTCTTCCTCCTCATCTTGTACGAGCTGCCTCCCTCAACAAAACCTGCAGAGCCGTGAAGCTGCTGGGTCAGTTCTAGAAGAACCCAATGAGGCGGGTCCAACAGAACCTGCCGAGTAACGACTTGTTGTCCACAGAACGCTCACCAGCCAGAAGACGTGTCGTCACGTCGCCTTTGTCTCTGAATCATATAAACACCAGCTGAGCGCCAGTTCTGCTCTAAGACCCGTGGACCGCTCTGTCTCAGGCTGTCTGGGTCAGATGAAGGTCACGACATGTTCAGGAGGACGACGGAGAGGAGAGCACCCAGAGGAGGATGGTGTGTGACGTTCTCGTCAGGTTTTACAACTTTAAAGATGTGTTTCTTCAAACCGTCCTGACTGAACATCCACAGCTAACACAACAAAACTGTTGACGTCCATCTTTAATAATCAGCTGTGAGAGTCGGCGCTGAGCGGACTCAGAACTTACGTCCACGATGAGGAAGTCCAGCCAGCACCAGTAGTTGGTGAAGTACTTCTTGAAGCCGTAGGCGAGCCACTTCAGCAACATCTCCAGGATGAAGATGTAGGTGAAAATCTTGTCTGCGAACTCTAGGATCACCTTCACCACCCTCCTCTTCTCGATGTAGATGTCCTCAAAGGCCTGCAGGGGGGGACGGAGAGGTCCGTCAGGAACTGGACCGCTTTGATTCATCGAGAACAACCAAGTCCAGTTAATGTTCTGTTGTTGCGTGCACGTTAGTCTACGTGGTTTGACATTCAACTGTGACTTAAATTATAAACTAGAGAAATTGTCTTTCCTGTGAAAATGAAGTGTGAACGCTTATTGCTGAAGAGCCTGATGAAAAACAGCTGAAATGAGCTAAAAAAACTGCTGATGGTAGCTGAAATGAAAGAACAAGCTTTAATTTGCAGAGGAAAGCAGAAAGAACCCATTGTTGCAGAATTAGGTTTAAATTAGCTGAAATTGGCACAATAATTAGTAAATTAGTTTAAAAAAGCTGAAATTAACTAAATAAAGCAGATGAAAAGTAGCTGAAAAGGCAGAAAGAAGCTTAAAATTACCAGAAGGAAGCGAAAAGAGCTGAAATGAGCTTAAAAAATGTAGAATTAGCTGAAAAGGCTAAAATTGGCATAAAACAGCTAAATAGTAGCTGAAATAGAAAAAGCTGAAACTAGCAGAAAAAAGCAGAAAGGAGCATAACAAGCTGAAATTAGCAGAAAGAAGTTAGAAGAAGCACAAAAATGTTGTATAAGCAGAAAAAAATCTGAAAGGAGCACAAAGTAGTTGAAAAAACAGCTGAAATTAGCTGAAAAAAGTTTAAATTTGCAGCAGGGAGCTGAAAGAAGCTGAAACAGAACAAAAAGTGAAAGGAGCAGTAAAAGGTTGTAAACAGAGCTAAAGATGTGAAGGAGGTAAAATGAGCTCAATTCATTTTCTGTGAGGAAAAAATGTCAGAAAAGGCTAAAATATTTCAACAAGCTAAAGTTGCACCAATACCAAAAGTCATAGCAGGATTGTCCTGAAAGAGCCGAACGTTTTGATTCATGATTTGATGAAATAAATAAAACTGTGGAACGAGATGCTGAAAAACGTAGGAAAGAAAAACTGATCAAAATAGAGTGACTGCTTCATAAACATTCAGATTATTATAATTTGGTATGCTGGATTATCATTGAACATTATAAACATTTTAAAGCAAGATTTATAATCGTCTGAATGTTTATGAAGCATTCTTACTGTTGTCATCCATTTTTCTTCTGTACGCTCTTCATCATCTTTCTCTTTCCACACTTTTTATGCAATTTTGAGCTTTTTCAGCTAATTCTACATTTTTAGCTCATTTCAGCTCTTTCTACTTCCTTCTGGAAGGTTAAGCTTCTTAAGCCAAATAAAAATAATCCCAGTAAAATAATTAATGTTCAGACAGTAAAATGAGGTGTGTGTGTCTGACCAGAGCTCCGGAGCTGAGGAGGATCATGAAGATGATGAAGGACTCAAACCAGCTGTGCTCCACGATCTGGTAGCAGGTCTTCCTGGTCCTCCACCACATCTGGCCGAAGCCCGCCGTGGTGTCGATGTCGCAGCACTGAAACCGGGCCACGCACACTGTGGGCGAGACAGACACGCTTCAATCAGAACCACAATCCTTCGAGCACCATCTCGACTCGCTTCCATTTCCTGGTTGCTGCGAGAGAAAGGGAGCTTGGCTGCAAGGCACGCGGGCAGCACGCTCCGGTCCTCCTCGTGTGTGGAGTTGGTCTGGAGAGACGTGTTCTGCTGGAGTGAGAACGTGTTTTCTAACAGAACGTCTGACTCTGACAGATGTGGAGCTTCAGAGCGAGACACCGCGTCATGGAAAAAGCAGTGGATTCATAATTTTACTGTCAGCACGGAGGTGGAGGGCTCATGGTTTGGGCTCCTCGCTGTCATCCAGTTGAACTCTGTAAACAAAGGAGCTGTAGTTGTTCTGTAAACGTCAACAGCTGAAACATCTGAACCATCGTGTTGTTGGAGAGGACACGAGCTCTGAGGAGGAAACAATGTGCAAGTTTTAAAACGTCTTCTAGACTTTTCACTTCGACACACTCATCCAGCGTTCCTACAACCCGACATGCGCTGTTGACAGTATTGATCTAAAACTCGCAGAATGATTTGCTGATGAATCCTAAAAGCATCCGTTGGTCGGAGTGCATCATCCAGATGGGGAGAGCTGATAAGGCGGGGGTCAGATTTCAGCTCCGTTGGATAAATGTGTCCCTAAAAGCTTGTTTTTTTACAGAATTCAATCAAAGTGTGGACAAGAACGTCTTGGATGATGTGGAAATCACTCTGAATGGTGACTGAAGAGATTGACTGGATGAGTGAGTGGTGCTGACGAGCCCTGAAGGAAGACGAGACCGGATCGGTGGAACATTTAGATCATCGACCGGTGGACAAAAGTGATGAATTTGTTACTGAAATGAAGAACAATAATGGCCTGAGGACAGAGCCCTGAGGCATGCCATGCTTTATCTGTGTTAAATGTTACCGCTCACAGTTAGCACATTAGTTTACTTTTAAACTTAGATTAACATTACCCCATGAAGGATCCTTTTTAAACCAACAAACCACATTTTAATCAAAGTTCTAGTGGGTTCTACCAGAACCTCGATCTTAAAGTGGACCTAACTAAACTTAACTAGAACCAAAGTTTCTGGAACCAACAAACTGGTTTTACACGAGATTACGGTGTCAGACCAGACTTATTCAGATAAAAGTACAGTTTTCAACTGAAATCATGTAATTTTCTTTAAAGGAATGCAGATTAATATCATGATGATGAGAAGTAATGTGTGAATGACCCTCAGCTACTACCACACCACGTCTGATCTATAAAGTGAAGTGGATTGTGGTCGTTTGCGTGTTTCGTCAGGCCAGTCGGCCA